TTCTTATGAGTCAGTTATTTTTAGTAAACCAAAAACATACAACATGAACAGCAAAATAAATAAATAAATAAATCAAAACTTAACCCAAATCAAAATCGCAACAAGTGAAGCTCAATTTCTGAAATGAAAGACTAAATTAAAGAGGCAAAAAGGCCAATAATAATATATTTTCTCTATATTATCTCTTTCTACACATACACCTATATACGTATATCTATATCTGCTGTATATTGCCAGATAGTTTGAAATAGTTTGAAAAGTATGAAGATTGTAAATTTGAAGTTTTAAGTTTGAAACATCTTTAAAAGCTTGAGATTTGAAGCCGTTTTAAATAGTAATATTAAGTCGTTTTAAAAGCTTAAATTTTAGAGGTTTTAAGGCCATGCAGTCTCTCAGACAGACAGATCGCTATGTGGTTACTAAGGTATTCTGGATGGTTGCTAGGAGGTTGCTGAGGTATTCTGGGTGGTTGCTAGGTCTTTGCTATGCAGTTGCTAAGATGATGTGGGTGGTTGTTAGGTAGTTGCAATGTCATTGTTATGCAGTTGCTAGGGTGTTTTAGATGAACGCTATGACATTCCTATGTTATTGCAAGTCAGTTGTTAGTGTGTTATGCGTTTTATTCTGCTACCATAACGTATGTAAGTTGCTAGGCTTTGTGATGACAGACAGACAGACAGACAGACAGGCAGACAGATAGACAGATCGATAGATAGATGACAGACAGACAGACAGACAGATAAAGTTCACACTTCAGTGTACTGATCTCCCTGAAATGTACAATCATGACCAGAAATGTGCAAACATCTAGTCACAACAAAAGAAAACAAATACTTCACTGTTCAGTTCCCACTCTCATTTTTTCTGTAAATAAATTATCTCTTCATAATCTGTACTTGACACTGTATTTATTATTACCTCATCTACATGCTTTATTACTCTGGGAAAATCTGCTTATCCTGTAATAAACTCCCCAGTGGTTGCCCATTTAGAAGTGGCTGACACGGCACACTTTTGTAAGTAAAGAAAGCAGTTTTCTCGCAAACACACCACCGTACTGTATATTCACATAAACCCTGATAGTGCAATCAAACTAGATAGCTCAAGGCTAAACATACAGTGAAAAAACATTGCAATCACAGTGGGAGATATGAGCACTTTATCCACAGATCCGTGAATAGGAAAGCGACCTTGTTCAATGAAATTACTTCTCACCGTATGAACCATAACAAGTAATGTGCAGCGAGGAGGTGAGGAGCAGATACTCAGTCAGAGACACACTTTCTCTAAAGTGTAAATGTCAAGTGACTAGTCACTCCGGAGCTGCAGGAAAATGACATCATGGCAGCGCTGACTGGATGACATCACAATAGTGCACATAGTGCCAAACCCTTCACTACAGACTTTCCTGAGATGTGAGATCAAACACAGCAGAGAGGGGAGATATATAGTATGTCTATTTCACGCTTTTAAGAGTGTGTGGCATCTTTAGGCATCTACCAGCAGGGGCTGGACAGGCCTTGCTTCCCAGCTAAAACTCGAACCCTTGTGGATTAAGCCTGTGGCTAAAGATGCTCCAATTTAGCACTGTGTGAAGAGGATGTGCAGAAGTGTTCTTTATGTCACCATCTCCTGTTCTCTGACACTGCCTCCAGTGAGTCTGGTAATGCCGCAAAAAGCCGCCTGAGCTGGTGTTGTTCCCCAGCAGGCCACACCGCAGAAAATACTCCAGTCTCTACAGACCTAGAATGTCTTTAACAGATTTAAGCCTTACTTCTACTTCAGTCAAATCAGACTACTGCCTTCGCTGTGCAATTGCAGCTGCATTTCAAGACAAAATCCTCTCTATATTAATGTTCTCTGATCTATAGCATTAATGCAGCCTACAATGCTTTACAATTTAACTAGTCTACGTTATACAATTAAAATTGTGAACGATTACAATTTAAAATAACTTTATTTTAATATTTTAATATATTTTAAGCAGCCATTACTCAAGTCTTCAGTGTCACTTTTATTATACTTTTATTCAGTAAGGATGCATTAAATTAATCAAAAGGGACAGTAAAAACATTTATAATATTCCAAAATATTTGATAATATTCCAAAAGAAATATTCATCAAAGAATCCTAGAAAAAAATGTATCGCTGTTTCCAAGAAAGTACTGTATTAATCATCAAAAGCTGCTTTAAATATATTAAAATAGACAACAGCTATTTTAATGTGTAATAATATTTTACAATATTACTATTAGAAAAGGAAGTATTCCAAACTTTTAGCTACACAAGGTAGTGTGTATCCATGTATTAAAAATGAATAAACGGATATTTTTTGTTTTGTTTTGTTTACAGTAACAGAAGATGTCTAGTCCACACCAAATCATTTTCAGAAGTTGTGAACTAAAAATAAAACAAAACGTCAACTAAACTGTCATACACATCTGCTATGTCACATTACATCATTTAATACCACATTGCACATGCATTAAAAAAAGTTGAAGACCTGTTCATATGTCAAAATATTTTAAATGACGCAAAAAAACAGCATCAATAATAGTATACTTTTCACATACTTTTACCATGACTGAATACATAAGAACGTCAAGGACAGACATGTCTTTGTCAGCCATCTGTCCACTTTAAATGCCTATAGGGCACAATATGTACAGTACGTGTCGCTATTTTTTATTCGTTTTCCTTTAGAATATTTCAAGGCATTTTCGTCACTGAATTTCAGCATATGGTGCGTCAAACACAGTCACATTCAGGCAGCCTTGTTTATAAATCAGTAAGGATGCATTAAATTAATCAAAAGGGACAGTAAAAACATTTATAATATTCCAAAATATTTGATAATATTCCAAAAGAAATATTCATCAAAGAATCCTAGAAAAAAATGTATCGCTGTTTCCAAGAAAGTACTGTATTAATCATCAAAAGCTGCTTTAAATATATTAAAATAGACAACAGCTATTTTAATGTGTAATAATATTTTACAATATTACTATTAGAAAAGGAAGTATTCCAAACTTTTAGCTACACAAGGTAGTGTGTATCCATGTATTAAAAATGAATAAACGGATATTTTTTGTTTTGTTTTGTTTTGTTTTGTTCACAGTAACAGAAGATGTCTAGTCCACACCAAATCATTTTCAGAAGTTGTGAACTAAAAATAAAACGTCAACTAAACTGTCATACACATCTGCTATGTCACATTACATCATTTAATACCACATTGCACATGCATTAAAAAAAGTTGAAGACCTGTTCATATGTCAAAATATTTTAAATGACGCAAAAAAACAGCATCAATAATAGTATACTTTTCACATACTTTTACCATGACTGAATACATAAGAACGTCAAGGACAGACATGTCTTTGTCAGCCATCTGTCCACTTTAAATGCCTATAGGGCACAATATGTACAGTACGTGTCGCTATTTTTTATTCGTTTTCCTTTAGAATATTTCAAGGCATTTTCGTCACTGAATTTCAGCATATGGTGCGTCAAACACAGTCACATTCAGGCAGCCTTGTTTATAAAGTTTTCCACTTGGCTCCCTGCTGGCCCTCGCAAGAAGATTCAATTTAAGCTCCATTGTGCCGCTCCGCTCCCACTCATCAGATTCGACAATATGTATGACAACCTCGATCTGGTCATGTGTTGATAAGTGTTCTGCATGGTGTGCTTAGGTCAACAAAATCCAATCAAATGACAAGTCCTCTGAGCTTCCATCTAACAATGAACTCGGCAACACAAAAGACAGGGAAGGTTTTGTACGGCGGACTCGAATCATCTGAAAGCGCTTGCTTTTAAAACGAAGTGTGCAAGCGTAAGATAAGCAGACACCAAATAGGCTGTGCTCATGTCTATCTGATATGAATTGGTAAACAGTAAACTCATTTAAAAACTCTGACTAAAAGTTATGTCACAAACAAGAAGACCACCGTGGGCGGCACATTTCGGATAATCATTCATGATATGAATATGTGTATATTTAATAATGCTTAGAGCTGTTGTGGTTTCTTTGAAATGGAGTCAAGTCATTCACTTTATCTTTTGACACACATTGTTAACTCTTCCTCCAAGGGTCCTCTAGAGGAATCATTAGCACTAGCTGTCATGCTAACTTTGGCCACTGTTCCTCAGTGCAATGCCACATTGGCTGGGTCTCTCGGAAAGGCGAGCCGTGTTTTAATGATGGAAATCAGTAGAGCACAAAGCCAACTCCAATTAGCTTGCTCTATTAGAGTTTGGGCTGCATAATGTACATTTGGCCATGTGTTTCCCTGGCATTAAAAGTGCACCCTAGGTACTGGTGCAGTGTGTTGGTGTGAATGTGAGCGTTCTCCAAAAGTCACAGCACATATGAGTTGTGTACAAAGTTCAGCAGACGTTCCACGATTGCGAGCTCCCATATCAGAGTGTGATAAAATCATTTTGCAAGAAGTAAAAACTTGTAAAAGGCTATATAATTATCAAATCCATTTGATGGGACAGCGTCTGGCAGACATGTCACTCAATACAACACGCTTTCATGGGCAGATGCTATTTACAGCTACCCTGTTTGCCACCTTAAAGGAAAGAGATACAATCGCGGTTCCACACAAGTCTCCGTGTTTGTCACGCAACAACAGCATGTCCAAAAGTTAGCCCACTAAAAAATTTCCTTCTGTAGCCGCCCATCTTTCTTTTTAGAGAAATTGTGTAAATTGGCTGTCTTTATAGATGCTATTTTCTGTGAGAGTTATTTTCCCCTCTGTAGTCTTGATCCCCAGTCTTCTCATTACAGTGAGGTGGAAAACAGGATCGTAGACCGAGCCAAATCAATAGCAGAACCTCCTCAGGTTCTCCTTTGGGAGGCGACACACTAAAACGCTCACTTTCTCTTCGGCCATTCCTTGTTATGTCTTATTCTCTTCTCGCCAAAATGAATGAGCCGCTTTTTATCTTTCAAAATAATGGGCGAACTTGGTAAGAAATATGACAATACGTACTCAGTGTGGTGTTCTAGTGGCGTGGAGTCCACAGGCTTCATTTCCCAGTTGGCATGAGAGGTGTCTGAGTTTCGTAGCAGGTCTGTGCGTTTGAGCTCAGCAGCTGCTGTTCTGGCATTAACACTGGCCTTGATAATCAGCGAGATGCTGCGCGTTACATCGCTGATTTGGGCTATTAGCAGAACAGCACTCTGCTACTTATGCACTGTAAAAAAAAAAAAAGAGTATTATATTAAGTAGATAATGCTTATATGCTTATATAAGACATGGTTATTGCAATTTTTTGTTTCCCTACTATTCAAGTTCAGATAAAATCACCGCTTTTCATCTTGATAATTTATCTATTACACTGAAAAAGTCTGTATGAAAAAATGAGCCTTCTGTAACATATACAGTCAAAAATACTATTTAACATACAGAATCATCCTAAAAACATTAGCTTGCACCAACAAACCAAAATTTTGTGGTTAGATCAGATAGAAATAGCTCATTATTTCTAATTTACAATACTGTACATCTGATTTAAAGAAGTTGAACCAACTACAACAGCAGATGAGTTGGATTTTTTTGGTTTAATTAGGCCTATATTGAATATAATGACTTTATAATCCCTTTTGCCACTCGTATGATTTTTGTCAGTAGCTTAAGACAACAAGCACTTTGCTTTTCATGAACATGTTAACAGGTAACAATCTGCATGGAACTCTTTAGAAATATTCTCACAGTTACTTCTAGCAATCTAAACAGTTACCATTATATAGCAGATTTCAAATGAATTAAACTTGCTTTAAGTTCAGTGAGACATTTACTGAAATTAAATTAACTGAATTGAACTCCCAAAAAAGCCAAGAAAATGTTTGCCTTTTTAAAAAGGCAATGAACAGTATTTTTCACAGTCTGGTGAACACAAAATCCAATATCCTTAGCTTTCCTTTAACATCTACATTTTTGGTGTCAGATCAATGGTTTGTAACATCTCTTTACAATTCTGAAATTGTATCACATAAATTAAAATCCTTAAAAAATAGCATGGACAACTTGTGTTTTAGGAACTCTGTGTTGTTATTATAGCATATTGACATGTGGCCTTAGTTTCATAAACCTCAAGGCTCTGTTGTAAAAGGAGTCTCTTAACCCTATTTCTTACATAACATCACCAAAATACTCTCCATCATACAAAAACTTTCCTGAAGTCCCAGAGCGTCAAGTACTCTCAGTTCTCACACAAGAACACACACAATGAGAGCAGCTAGGAAGCCCTTGCCTCTCAGGATAGAAACACTGTGTTTCCAAAAACTCTGTTTGTTACCCTACTTCACACTCACTCCAAACAACCAATCAACAAATCCATCAAAAAACCAACATGGAGTGACCACTGGTTCAAATGCACTTCACATCGATTGTCTTTTAATTATTTATCCAACATACTACTGATATTTTTAACTTGTACGAGACAAAGCCTAACCACCATGCACATAGTTTCATAAATGCATGGCTGAAAAACAGTCCTTTAACCAATAGCACATGTGCTTCTACAAGAATTTAAAGAAGAAATCATGTTTAGGATTTGGTTATGAGCTCAAAATATACCCATATATGCACTCTTAACTGCACTAAATAGAACCCTGCAAAGTGCTCCATGTTTTTTTCTAAACATAACAAACTGTAAGCTTGATTGCAATTTGCTTTGCTAAATCTATAAATGATTTACTAGATCATAGCTTATCTTGCCACCAAAATGTTATTAGAATCAGTAAAAATGATAAAGCATCATATGCATTAGCATGCGCAGCTGTGCAGACTGTTAATGTGAGATCATGTGTACACCTCACATTCAGGGATGCAGAGTCAGTGCGCTTAAATGGGGAGAACACAAACAGTCTCAGCGTTAATCTGTGTTTGCTTAAATTTTTGATGAAACGTCTGCGGAGGTGAAATCAGATATTTTGTAGAGGGTTTTTTTTTTCTGCGTGTCTACTGGAAGATCTCTAAAAACAGCATGCCTTTGGGAGCGGCTGCTTGTGGACATGAAGCGAGCGATCGGTGTCACATTTGCTGAGAAGCAGCGTTTGACTAATGAGCGCCGATGACAGGGTTGTGGAGAGGTGCTTGCTGAGCGGAACACATTTGTTTCTCCCTGGTCTAGCGAAAGGCCTGTCAGACACAGAGAAATGACCAGCAGTCGGCCCCAAGGTGCCCTTCCCTGTACTGGCAAACTGACAAATTGACCAAAGGGGACAAGTTTGCCTCAGAATCGCCTATGAGATTAAGATGTTTTGAGCATTTGTAATCAGCGGCATAATGAAATTTGTGATTAAAGCTGGATATATTGCACTTGTGTGGATACACTGTAAAACATGAGTAGCAGAATAGCGGTGAAATGGCAGTAAAGGTCAATGTTATGTTGATGAATTGGAACATTTTTGTCAACGAACATTTTCCAGGAATAATATACAACAGCGATAAATACATTAACCGTGATCACACGTGTAGTATACGCAGAGTAATTCTATCAATTACTGGTCATGCGGGTGTACGGTCTACAGAACAATGCGAAAATCGCTCTCTATAGATCTCATCGCTTAGTGTCAAAAATCAATAGTAATAAAGTTGCGAAAGACATAAACAGTTGTGTGGGTTGTTATTGTCAATGCCACTCCAGAGAATGACATTCCTTGGGCAGAGGAAGAAGGGGCGTAATGAAAAATGTGCCATTACTTGGATTTCTCTATTACTTGTATCCCTGCAGACAACTGTCAACAGCTGCTAATTCATTACAGGCTGATATCATGGGAATGCGTGTAACATGCTAACTGAATTCATTAGTTTGGAAATAATCAACAGAGGGTGATCCAAATGCATACGTACAGATGTTTGTGCATTTACTGTATCAGAGTTTCTTCAGCTTCAGGCACTTTTAGATCCCAGAGGGGGTTTTGTATGCAAATTAAGAGGTTTAAACTTCTTTTTGTGACATGAATTTTACATCAAAACTGTCTCAGAAAAGTTTTAGCATGCTTTCATCATTTAAATGTGGTACTTTTAAACAAGCAATTTGAAAATTTAATGTGTAACTATAGATTGTATCCATGATGGGCCACACTTAGCAATTATTGGGCCCCTCGGCCTTCCTCGGTTGAAATTGTGCCCCAAAAGTTCAAGCTGTATCACCTGTACATGTATACAGGTGCATCTCAATAAATTAGAATGTCGTGGAAAAGTTCATTTATTTCAGTAATTCAACTCAAATTGTGAAACTCGTGTATTAAATAAATTCAATGCCGACATTCTAATTTATTGAGATGCACCTGTACATAGATTGCTTTAAATTTGTCAGACCCAGCAAATCTGTCAAAAAAATATGAATTGTTACATTTTAAATTATTATAATCTAAATGAAGAGTGAAATAAGCAAATCATTTAAAATTTTATTTATTTTATTTTTTATTTTTATTTTCAGCTGCCCTATTTCCAATTTCCAGCAAACCAAACAATTTGGCACCTAACAAAGTTTTTTCAAAAGTTTGCGTGGGAGACATCAGTGTCAATAAACAGTTTGTGCAAAAATATCAGGCATCAGATGTGAAGTGTGAAGAAAACAAAGAAAAATCAAGGTAAACATCACTTCTGAACAGAATATTTTAATAATAATTTTCAATCAAGCTGTAATTTTCTCCAATCATCCAAAAAGTGTGAAACATGGTTTAATTGTGTGCATTGAGGATGCTACTGATGAAATTAGCCTTTGCAAGACGAATGAGACAGGTGTTTTATTCCAAATATCTTCAAAATGGCATGTCTAACTGCCATTACAAAATTTGATCACACTACATCATTTGAGATGTGATGGAAACGACAATGCAGTGGAAAATTTCATGACTTTCATTAGGGAAAAAAGGGATACATGTCCACACCTTAATACATTATATAGATTAAATACACTGGTGAAAGTTTGTAAAGCATTTTGAGAGTGTTTCTTTTCTAAAAGTCTACAAGACTAAAAGTGTCCTTAGTTTAAGAAACACTCGCTATGTATTTAGGTCTTATGCCATTGAGTGATTTATAAACGAGTAAAAGTACTTTAAAATCAATCCTAAATATAACTGGAAGCCAGTGTAAGGACCTGAGAATTATGTCAGGTCCTGTATACATCAAAGTGTGCTTGGATCTACATGTGTGTGTCGGTGAGAATGATGGAAATGATGGTGGAGCAAAAGTTGTTTGATTGCATCACTATCAGGGGGGATAAACCAACCTGTTACTCCGGTACGTGATACATAATTCTGCACCGGAAACCATCAACATACTCCCAGCATCTTTCAAACTATCACCGATATGCCCAGATGCTTGTTTGGCCAATCATATCCAACACAGCGAGTTTTAAGTCTGCGCAGAGCACAGCAATCCTTAACAGTATTTACAGTAACATAACAAAATTACATTTCCTATTTCATATTACACAGACTTCCACTGGTGTCCGTAAGAGGTACACATGAGCCGATATCACAGGGAGATATGATCTCCAACAATACCACCTGTCTGTCTGCCAGCTTCCTCAAAGCGCTTTCCTTCAAATCCTCTGTGAGAAAGTGAGCCACCGGCACTGTTAATTGGCTCATTTGTTTAATGATGTACTACAAACTGAGAGAGAAAGACAAAACGTGATTTAAGAGCAAAGAAGCAGTGCTGTACTGAAACCACTGTTTTAGACTCACCATCATATAACTAGCTACTCGAAAAACAAAGTTGAACATGAGGTTGTAGTACAGAAACTTGTCTGCAAGGTCGTGTGAGATGAGTGACGGTGATTCACACAAACACACACACATATGCGCACAGGTCAGATGGCTAATAAAAGATCCCATAGTGTCCTGGCCTTTTCTCACAGGTTACAGATGATATGATTTCTGCCGCTGGTTTGAACAGGGCAGGAGGCCGGGGGAGATTGGCCAAGACCCTGGTTTTCTAGCTTATCGTCTACATCAGTCGGGCTGTTGAGATTGGATTGTGGGAAAGCACAGGGAGGGTACAAAGCGGGGGCGTATGGGCTTAATTCGCACCAAGCGGACAGCCGAGATTATCTGTGGTGATTCACAGCACTCCATCGAGAGATAAATAACAAGTGACACAGTGAATATAGCATTGCCTTATCCATATTCATAAAAAAGGTTATAATGAAACTCTGGAAGAAATTGTATAATTTAT